ATATTTATATCCCGTGAATATTAGGTTACCAAAGGAGTTTTAATCGCATAAGGAAAGAAAATTTCGTATCGGAAATACTACCATGCGACCGCATGGTTTTAATCAGTGTGGCCGCATGGTTATTCCATGTTTTGATAAAAATTCCCTACATTCATTCGTGCGGCTGCACGAGAGTTCTACCATGTGGCCGCATGGTAGACTCCAACTTCTATTCTCTTCAATTTAGTCCCTTTACTTGAATATTTCACTTCTAGACCTCTTTTCTTCACTCTTTCCATTCCATCATCTCAAGACATCATCAATTGGCATTTGGTTCAACCAATTCCTTGATTTGTTCATCGGGTCAACTTTTGGGTAATTGCACCTTAGTCCTTGAACTTTCACTTTGTGTCATTTTAGTGATTTTTCGCGTCTTCTCTCATGAATTTCACCATGTTCATTGGTGTTCCCTACAATTCACAAATGTAACGTAATTAAGTCATGTTTGTGACCTAAATAAGTGTGCAAAAACACACTTATCAATACTAAGAGGTGGCTATGAGTCAAAACTTGCAAAATATCAACAAATGAGCATCCAATTGAAGTGGTATGAGTGGACCACAAAACAAAATAATAATTAAAATAATTTCGAAAGTTTATCCACAACTCCACCTTCATGAAAATAGTTTATATCCAAAAGAAATATATTTAGACAAGTAAAGCTAACTTACGAAAAGATCAGAGAAAATATTGACTAAAGATTTTGGAATTTTAAAAAAGAGAATTATGGAAAACGAAGCAAACATCGAAATCGAACCCTGTGGTTCCATCCAATTGACAATACCAAACATACTACCGTATAGTACTTAAATCTAGTTTAGTACAAGAAGAAGCCCTGCTTAAAGAGGATAAACCAGAATAACTACAGGCCTACAACATATAATACATGAAACAAGATCAGTGAATGTACATAAATTAACAAATAATTAGCAATTATTTCACCAAATAACCAAGAACCCATTAAGATTTATGAACACTTTCACATCTAAGAATAAGTCCTAAATGAAGAACTTGAATCATCAATCAAGCAGTATCATTCACATCACATATATTCTTGCATCAAGTCTAGACAAAATAATGGTAGAATTTTTTGTAAAAGTTAAGCAAAAATCTTGACTCCAATTCAACCTATCATAAGCCACAACTTGCTTTTCTTGAATTCCAAGCTTGTACAACTTTGTGAGTACATAGATAATTTGCTTTATAGAAGGGATCAACAGAATGTGTTGGCTTATTTTAAAAGAAATGAAGTAATAAAGAAGAGGTGAACTCGACTTGAGGATAATCAAATTTATGAAAGTACATGGGAGACTCTGAGATTTAATAAGAACGGATAAATTACAGATTCCATAATTATGGAATTCTAATGCTTTTTTAAAATAAAATCAAAATATACGTGATATTAATAGTAGTTCACTTTTCCCTTGGAAAACATTTATAATTGTACGAGCCATCTAAAAATTACTTCTCATTTTCCTGAATAAAACAGTACAATCTACAAAACAAAAAGTGTTGAAAGAATTAAAGATTATTG